TCAATTCCATTTTTGATGATTAGCCTAATTAAGAGATATTATAAGATATTAGAATGCTAGTCAACAATTTGTCCCAACTGTTTAGAGCATGAAACAGTTGTATTTGATAGAAAAAGCATATAATTTTGGGGAAAAATGCATTAAAAATATGGATACATTAAACGTCTGTAACTTTAAAACTACAATAGCTACAGTTTAGGTAAAAACTGAGTTTTAATCAGCAAAAAGAGTACTACAAGATGTATATGTTTAATCATTTCCAAAACTCTGATTTAAGAAAAAAACTAGTCCATAGTAGGCTATTTTATGCCGACAGAGAAAGAATGTGGGGTCAGCACATTCCTGGGAGCTCCGGCCTTGACTCAGATGTCAATACACATTGTACACTCTGAATCGATTTTAAACGTTGGAAAAGACTATATAGATAAAATGTAGTTATTGATTTGTAATAGTCATGAAATTATGTTTAAGAAATGTCCAAACAGCGTGTAAATATGACTATTCCTACGAGCAAAATCAATTTTTCCCGAAAAAAAGTAAAAATATGTAGTAATTTAAGGCTAAAAATGCGTTTAAACGCATTACACTATTCCAAAGGATAGAACCACTTTAAAATATATCATAAATAGTCACATTTAAGCGTAAAAACTTGTATTTTTTACGTAATTTCAATTTGAAACCAAACTGTGTACTTCATAGAAATAACAAATATTGGCTCAATTACTATGATTTTTAATGAAAGTATGGCTTTAATAATATCACAAAGAGCCTAAAAAACTATTATGGTTATAGATTATGTCAAAAACATACATTTAATGCGTCAAAAACATTACGTAAAATAATTAATTCGGTCCAACAGATTTCCCGTCTTAAACCTTTAAATGCTTAAAATTGGCTTAAATAATATGATTCTGAATACAATTATAGGTTTTTGAATTGCAAAAAGAGTATATAAAACGAATACAAGTACAACATATACCAAAAACACTCATTTAATGGGTTAAAAACATTACGTAAAGATTGATTTCGCGTAAAAGCAATTTCCGATTTCAACTATAAAATGGCCAAAAAAGCTTAATATGATAATTTTGAATAGGGTTATGGCTTTGTGAATTGCACAAAGCGTGTATAAATAGAATAAAACTATAATATAGACCAAAAACACTCGTTTGATGGGTTAAAAGCATTATGTTAACAAAAAAGTGAAAATCATTTTTGGTGCAATCTTACTTTATTTGTTTATTTTCTTAAAATTTGTATATTTTGAACGCTTGAAAATGCTTTATTACACTACAGAACTATATACTCAATGGTATAGAACCGATTTAGAGGATAAAAATTCAATAGTTTGCTTAAAAATTCAAAACATAGTCAGATTTACAAGAATTTCATTCGTCTTTCTCGTGCAAACCATACAATATTTGTTTATATTTTTCAAAGTAATCACTTTAGAATGTCTAAAACCTCATATATCAACAGGTTACTAGTTGGAGCAAGGTAATAAACCAAAAAGAAATCTTAAAAAACTATAGTTTACTCAAAAAATGAGTTTTATAAAGAGTAGAGTTAAAGACCACCCACTGTGCCAATGGGACTATGGACACGTGTAGTCGCTAGTGTCTATCATACAACAATAACATGGTCCAGTATGACATATTGATTTTTTGGTCAGATATTGTAGATATTTCAATTATATACACCCTGCAGTTGATCCCATACCTATGGGTTTAACCGTTCAAGAGTTATAAGAGTTTGAAAAGTCAAATTTGACAATTTTGGTTTTACTCCCAAAAATACAACTGTTAAAGGTTTTTTTTGCAAATTTCTTTCAATTTCTCCTCTTTATTTAATCCTTAGAGGTATAACATACCTACAATTGGTTTTAATCTTATTACTTATCAAGTATTTGTGGAAAACCTGGCAGACAGACAGATCAGGTAAAAGTTCCTTATCTGATACTAGGCTTATCGGGAGAAACCAATGGACTAATATCTCATCCGGCTGTCTCTGTGGTGTGAATGGTTGCCAAAATTTACACAGAGACAGCCCAGGAGGGAGGAGTGTTCATCGGTCATCCCTGATAAGGGCCAAGAACGTGCCTTATCACTCTTAGATAACTTGCCAAACTTTTGTGTGGAATCTCTGCCTGTAGACTAGTTTATTTACTATTTCATCTAGGTAGATAACCTGTTATCATATGTTTGAATCAAGATTATTGGAAATGTAGATTGTTAAAAGTATTGAATTTTTGACTGCACAAGCCAAGTCTACTACCAAGTTATATAGTGCAAGATTTGGAAATATTATACGTAATAGATGATTTGCAGATAACTCAGATTGATATATAAGTAGCTTTAATGATTATAGTTATGGTTTTGGATACATTTTTTGCTAAGCTGTAGACATAGAGATAATACAAACCAAGTATCTCAAGTTACCTCAATGCAGATATATTTTGGCAACTTGATTTGAGGGTTAGTATGTGATGAAAACTGCTGAATATTACATTATAAAGGTAGTAAAAACTATAAATCGTCAGCAAATGTTGAGAAATTTAGTAAATTTTAAAACCTTTAATTGTTATTGGCATTTTAAAATTTTAAACCTTTGTAGCCCATAACTTTGAAAGTATTTGAGCTAGAACAATGGCTGAAATCGTATTGGGTACAAAATGTGCAATACAACAAAATGTGTTACTTTTTTCTCTTCCAAAACATAGATTTATCCTAACAATAAACTTGTACTAGACATGTATTGTAGTTTAGACTCCAAATGTAGGTTGATACGATTCACTTCAACTATTTGCTGACCAAGCACTCATTGTTGTGAAAACTAGACTGACCTAGTGTACTGACACTTCTTTGTTGACAGTAAGAGTAGCTATTGTTAAAATAAAATGCCTTTTAATGTCATTATTGTGGTTACTGAAAGTCACAAAAGTTTATTTTGTCAGCAATCAGTAAACAGTGAAATGCTTAAAAAATAATCATTAATTATCACATATAAGGAAAGTTGAATTAAAACAACAAATATAGTTAGATTACATTTATTACTTAAAACAATACTTGTGATTATAATACAATTTATTGCTTAATACAATGCTTGTGATTATTATACAATTTATATATTTATTCAATATAACACATCATTAGAGTTTATTTTGTAAGTCATTTTGATCAACAGATAGAAACAAATATTCTTTTAATAATCTTAACTTCTCCACCTCTTGCAATAATTAATTGTATTTCCTTTTTTTCAATTTCTGAAAACATCTTATTTAGATTTAAATTTATACTAGCCCAATTGTGGAATTCTTCAGTAGATGAAGTTAACCTAACATAATTAATAGATACATCATTGTACCAACTCACTCCAAAAAATATAGATATATTGGCTTTAAAATGGCCAATATTTGTTATTATATATCTAAAAATAGATTTAATTGAAAATCTATAATTTTCTAAACAATATTCTATCAAATCATTCTCACAATCAAGACTGTACAATTTAAACTCTACAAGTTCTTTTACTTTCTCTAATCTTCTTAATTCCGACATCAAACTAATAAAACCTCCAAGTACTAATTCAGTTATATTTTCAGTATCTACTTCAGCTATAGATTGTATATCTTCTTCTTCACTTGATGTTTCTATTCTTCTAGACGTTTGAGCATACCTGAGGTTTTCATGTCCAGTAGTTTGATTGAGATGATGGCAAGGAAGTCTGTTGTCATCTGAAATCCTAGGTTGCAATAATGGTTCTTCTATCCTCACTGGATGATGAGTCTCTTCTATATGATTACTAGTTCTTCTCCTCTTGTTCGATCTTAA